CATATTCTATTTTTGTTTTCTAACCCAGTTCAAAAGGAAATGATTATTTCATAAAACTCTATTTTGCAACCTGATGCATGATGGCACACTGCAAATTAAGATGTTCGCGCTCTCACACAAAAGAAAAGTTTAGCAGTATTTTGCCAATTACTCATTTTACACTTAATTAAGATAGAAACATACGCTTAGAATTTTTAAAATTGATATGTCTAGGTCTACAAAAAAGTATCAGTGAGTTGGCGAGGTGAAACCAAAGGCCAAGACGTTGTGACACTTCAAAGTAGAGGCTGTAAAATTTGATGACGAAGTTTATCTCAGTGGCCAGAGAAGTAGTCAACATTTGAAATATCAAAGTTTAACAACTCATAAAGATTTAGACATCTATGAAAACTTTGCATCAAATTTCAATTTTCAAATTTCTAATTTCTGTTTTATTGAGTTTTGTTCCTCAATTTGAAGATTTTGTAACTTAGAGAAACCATTTAAGAGCATCATATGATCATAGCTTATTTGTAAGTACATCTTTTAATAAACCTTCTGTTGTTTGATTCTTTGCTGAAATTGTCAATTTTGGTCAATTTGCAATAGCATGTGTTGCGTAACAATGTACTTCTGGTTTTGTGCAAATTACTCAAAAAATATTACGCAAAACGCGCAAAACTTATTGCGCTTCATGTGCAACAGATACAAAAGTTCGCAAAAAAAAGTCTTTGCGCGAAAATTACGCAAATTTTGCGAAAAAAAATATGGTAATTTCGTGTAAACCCTACCACACAGACTGAGACTTTACTGACGACCTAAACAGCATGAAAAATAACTATCTCAATGTTTACCTGCCTTTAGGTCGTTATACAAAGTAGGGTCGTCGTTAACGATCGTAAAAGATTGTCAAAAATCAAAAACGACCTACTTTTGTGAACAAAACGACGAATTAAAACTAAAAACCGACTTAAACGATCTTTTTTAAAAACGACCGCTTCTTTTCTTATTCGTTCCCTTTGATCTATTAATGTAAAACAAATTAAAAACAGAGTCTAATAATTACTGAACTAAATTATTAATCCCTCTAGAACGATAACCATTGATGTTGTTTTTTATTTATCTTTAATTATAATTATAGTTTCACAAAACCAATATTTAATCTACAATTAATTTATTAATAAACCATCTATTTATGTTTTAATGAATAGCTAAACCTTCACTGTTAAATTTGGACATATTTTAGACAATTTTGACAAAAATATGGACCTTGCGGATTTTTGCTATAAGTAAAACGGATGAAAATGTCTTCTAGAGTCTAACACTTTTCACGGAAGAAAAGGGAATATATGTTCCTTATAATAGATTAGAAAAGAGTTTAAAGGGTACCGTTGTGAATCGGGCATGGCCCTTTAAACTTTTCTGACTTGAAATTACAACTATGATTGCAAACCAGAAGAAGTAGAAAGTCAAATTAATGAAATATTACTGCTACAACTAATCTAGTAACTCATCTAGTTTTGAGAAAAATAAATTTATTCAGTTTATAAATTCAAAACATTTTTGTTGATCATAACAGCTCTTCTAGAAAAGAAGAGAAGAAGAACTTTTAATCTGACGTGCATTGTACTTTAGTTCGACGTGAAATCTTCCGATAAGCTTTTAAAGGGTATTGGTGTGAATCGGACATGGCCCTTTACATTTTAGGATCACTTGAAATTACAGGTACAGTCTCTTTAATGAACGGTTTATAAATAAGTTGTACAGTGTTCCTGGCCAGTTGTACACTGTACAGTGCCCCTGCCTAGCTGTACAGTACCCCTGCCCAGTTGTACAGTGCCCCTGCCCAGTTTTACAGTGCACCTGCCCAGTTGTACAGTGTCCCTGCTCAGTTGTACAGTACCCCTGCCTAGTTGTACAGTGCCCCTGCCCAGTTGTACAGTACCCCTGCCCAGTTGTACAGTACCCCTGCCCAGTCCTAATTGATTGTGCGCTACTGCAGTAACTAATCCAGCCGCGTCACTCAAAAAAAAACACAACTCAAACCATTTTTTCAATTCTACTTAAGATTAATATTTTGTATTAATATTTCTTAAACTGTTTTGCAATGAAATTCTAATGTCTAATGATTATTCAATTACTGACTCATTATACTAAATCCATATTTAAAATCAGCCATTAACCAACTTTGTGGTATTTCAAGATGAAATACTCAGTCAAATTTGTCAAAAATTTCATTGTAAAACAGTTTAAGAAAACGTGCGGGGAGTAACTTTTAGCAACCTTGGCAGAGCTGGGTTCCCAAGCTAGAAAATATTTATATATCTATACAGAATATACCACTCATATTTTAGTACAATATATGTTTCCAATATTTCTGATTAAATATAAAAGATAAGATCCATTATCAGCAAAAATAAAGAAAAATTACAATATTTCTCATTACAAAGCTTTATTAGACATTCATATAGATCTATAGATAATTGATTCGCACTAAAAACCTTGTAATTACTTAAAATCTTATAAATTTTCTGTAGTCAAACTGTAAAAAATGCAGGCGCTCAACCGTACAGAACTAAGAACTTTTTTTTTTACGAAGTCTAATAAAAAAATTAAGAAAAGAAGAGTCTAAGTTGGAAAAAAATAAACTAATGAGCTGAATTTTTAAAGGGATTTTATCGTCAATTTTAATTTTCCTTTTTTTGTTGTTAAATTTTCTCATTGTAAAACTTAATTTTATTTGGATGGTAAAGCAAATATTGTTCCTAAAGAGTCAATAAAATCTTCCTCCGACAAGTAAAAATGTTCACATGTAATAAATAAAGTTATGAAAATTAAATCAACTTCAAAGATATAAAAGAGTGAAAAAGAATTCAGGAAATAGTTTTTTTCTCTAAAGTTTGTTTTAAGCGTTGATTACAGCGGATCAAATTATTTTTTGATTTATCTTTCATAGATCTAAGGAACTGTACGTGATTTTAAGTTACCCTCCATTTAAAGGGAGTGTTCGCGAAAAATGAAAGGGGGTATAGGCTCTCTGATCATGAAAAATACAAAATATTATGAAATATCAACTATTTACGAATGCGTCGAAAAATAATCGAATACTACTGTTTGTAATATCTGAATGATTTTTTGGAATTAAATTGATTTGTTTACGATCCTAGTTGAATGTTGCTTCTTTCTGAATTTGTATGGACACTACAATCTTCGGTATTAGTCGTTTTTAACAATTTTCTCCTTATAGACGCAACAGATAAAAGTAAGATTAGTAGCGATCAAAAGTGATTTTTTATCGCATGAAGCCATTACCCCCTTTCATTTTTCGCGAACACTCCCTTTAAAGAGGCGCATGTTCATTTCTAAACCCTAAAATACACCCCTGTCTTAGTAAGGATTTTTCCATCCTTAGAATTGTTAAATTTTATCGCTTCTAAAGAGAATCCAAAAATAGGAAAAAATTTATCTAATTCATCCTTAAAAAGACAAATATTTAGAGGTACCATTGTGAATCAGACATGGCACTCTTTTCTTTCTTTTTTTCACTTGTAACAACTTCTACACTCATACTTCTGGAGTCCCACTTTTAGTCAAAGTAAGAAAGTTCTGAATATTAGAAATATTCCTAAGAAGGAAAAGAATGGTTGTATTGGCATATGTTGTAATAATATAATTATATTCTTCAATTCTGCAGAACCTCTAGCACTCTTCAGTATCCCTATCAAGTATGTTATTGTTCGTCATGTTTTTCACAGATATTGATTGTTGCTAATATAAAGAATGGCAAGTTCAATTATCAAAGGTACCCTTTGATGGGTAACGTACTGGGTACACCCCTGTAAGGTACTGGGCAAACCCTTGCAAGGTACATGGTACACCCCTGCGAGGTACTGGGTACTGGGTATGTTGATATATATATATGTAATAAATATTGGGTTATACAATATTCCATAAATATTTGCGGTACGTTTTACATAATTAATATTCAATGTTTGTACAGGGTGTCCGTATACACATCGATAGCGAACGAGATCGCGCCCAGGTTGTGGCATTGATAAGTCACGGGATTGTAGCAGTGTGGATCGTGTCCTGTTTGAGACATTGATCAATTGATTACTAGTGTCCGTATGACACCGATAGCTAATGAGATTGCGCACAGGTTGTTGCGTTGATAGTGTCCGGGATTATAGCCGTGTGGATTGTGGATTGTTCGAATGTGATGGTGGACTGGTTGAACCAGGACTGATTTAGATAGATAGATAGATAGATAGATAGATAGATAGATAGATAGATAGATAGATAGATAGATAGATAGATAGATAGATAGATAGATAGATTAACGTGCTCTTAGCTACTAAGCTACTATAGATATATGTATATAAAACCTAGCAGTAAACTGAAGTGTGAAAATATTTGAAATAAAGATTTTACTTTCTGCCTAATAGAGGTATAAATTTGGCTGAATAGGCATGATGTAGAGAATTAGAAAGAATATCTCACGTCTCGACACAGAGAACCAAACTTTTAACCAAGTTTATAAAACTTCCAGCTAGCAGTCTATATATACATCTAGGGCACCAATTTACAGATACGGATTTTAATGTTTTTCAAATTAATAGTTGAAATTTAAATTTGATTGTTTTTCAAAATGTGAAATAATAAATGACATTTAACTAAACTTTTGTGTGTTTAAACTTAATATTTTATTTCACGAAATGATTTTATTTTATTCAAAAAGAGTTTTTAAGACAGTTTGGGAAATATTTATATTTATGTTTATGGTTTTGATAAATTGATTTCAAATTATTCATCAGAAAAAGGTTTCAAGGGAATATTGTGAAGCGTACATTGCCATTTTTGCATCTAGGGTCACATTTAATTACGCTCACAGTCCCTTTAATTTCTGTACAATGTATGTACTTTGTATATGTACTGCTTTGTATCAATGAACTGTATTATATACATGCAGTACATGGACAGCACTATTTTGTTTATCTAAGTCATTAACTTGTAAATCTGTTGAAAATATCATTATCAATGAACATACCTGAAAAATTAAAAAAATTAATTAACCTTTACTTAATCTGAGTTTTTTATTAATAATCTTTCAGACAATAGAATAAAGTGTTTTGTCGAATACAAATAAATATTAGAATTATTTTCGAGACATAATATTTTTTGCATGAAAAGGAGTAAAAAATAAGCCTCCAGGGACGGTTTCATAAAATATGATAAACAATTTTACTTAGAAAGTGTGTGAGATTATCACGATCTGAATGGTTTTTTGGTGGGTTTGTGCATCAAATGATATCGTCTTTACAGGGAGTGTTCGCGAAAAATGAAAGGGGGTATAGACTTAATTCGATAAAAAAGCGCTTTTGATCGCTACTAATCTTACTTCTATCTGTTGCGTCTATAAGATGCAACATAGAAAGATGCAACATACGACTTAGACAGTAAAAAATCTATTTAATTTCAAACAAATCATTCAGAAATTACAACCTATAGTCATCGATTATCTTTCGCCACATTTGTATATAGTTGATTTTTCATAATATGTTTTAATTGTTATGATCTGGGAGTTACTTATAAAAACATTTATTCCTGTTTCGAGGATTTTTGGTAATGAAGACGACATTTGAATATTTTCCAGGAATGTTCGAAAACAAGTTGTAAGCTAAATATTATCTTAAAAAATAAAATCAAAACATATTATGAAAAATCAACTATATAAAAATTTGGCGAAAGATAATCGATGACTATAGGTTGTAATATCTGAATGATTTGTTTGAAATTAAATAGATTTTTTTACGGTCTAAGTCGTATGTTGCATCTTTCTAAATTTGTATGGACACTACGTTCTTCAGTATTAGTCGTTTTTAACAATTTTCTCCTTATAGACGCAACAGCTGGAAGTAAGATTAGTAGCGATCAAAAGCGCTTTTTTATCGCATTAAGCCTATACCCTCTTTCATTTTTCGCGAACACTCCCTTTAATAAGCTCATGGGATGTTGAAAAATAAGTGTGAATCCGTCTTTAAAGTCTTATGATTTGTAGGTAACCATGTTTAGTTTCCAGGAAAAGCTGGGTTCCTGTAAGCTATTTTAATATTGTTTAGTAGGTTAAAACTTTAAATAGGATACAACTGAGGGGAAAATGTTGTGTTACTGTTTATAATTGTATATTGCGTGACAATCATCATTCCCCACCTTTTCTGTGTCTTGCAAATTGCCCCCAGGCTTTCCCTTCTATTCCCTGGTTCTAATTCATTCTCCCGGGGTCTTCCTCCTTCTTCTCCTCCTTCTCCTCCTTCTCCTTCAACCCTTCCTTCTTTAATACACTTTCCATTGATTGGAGAACCTTTCGGAGAATTTTTCAATGTTTCATTTGATTTCCTGGATTTGTGCACTTCACATAAATAACTTTTTTCACTTTCAATACACTTTTCTTCAACTTCGTGGATTTTTCGTAGATTCTTTTTGGCCAATTCGACCCGCTTTGCGGCCCTGGTGACGTCAGGTGAATCAGGTCGGATCTTCTTGAGAGCCCGATGGACGAGTTCAGGGCTGCTGACCGGCCGGCCCGGCTCTTCCAGGCCAGCCTTCAACAGGTCTTCGTAACCCAGGTAGAAGGATTCTGTGTCAGAATCCTTTAATACTTCAACCTGATACTTTAACAGCTTCAAAATAGGCCATGTTAAGTGCTACATAAAATTCAGCCTATTACAACTTTTTTTGGAAAATGCCTTTTTAAAAAAAGAATGATAAAATATTTCAATTATTTAACTTCCCAATAAAATAAGGAAAAAAATATAAATCCCGCGAAACTAATTGAACTTTTAGTTTTAAAGATTCCATCTAAGTAACTGAGGATTTAATATTAAAGCTTTTTGTGGGAAAAATACAGATCGAACGCTTTCTCTCTCGCTGTAGTTGGAAAATATTAAAAGTTTTAACATTTCAGTCTTTACTGCAACTTTGTATCAAAGAAAAAAGTTTTTCTACTGGAAAATGTGAACAATTAAAGTAAGTTCTGTGTGAAAATATACCCCCCCCCACACCACCACCCTGTAACTGGATGAAATAGCTGGGCCCCGGCATTGTTTTCGTGTTATACTAACATAAAAGACAAAATTCAATTATGAACTTTTTGAAACTTTTCCTTGGCAGTCCAAATTTTGCCGTCTGCAAGCTTGATTTCTGTTTGTTTTGGAGAACTCGTCTTGTGCCTGGGAGATTTATTTTCAGAATTGGAGTCCGTTTCTTCAGTAAATAAAGTTTGGTTGATGTTTTGACAAATGTTTTTTATGTACGGTGTACACTTTAGCATACTGAGACGGTACTGTACAGTGTACAGTGTACGGACACAATTTGCTTACCGTACTGTACAATTTCTGTTAACTTTTACTTGATAAAACTCATCAATTTTGTCTATTAGGTCACCATTTTTTATATTAACCAAATCCAGATTGGTAAAATTCTTATTTTTCTGCTTTCATTTTATGATGAATATAAATAGTTTCCTGAAACCTAATACATCACACCGAGATGTATTTTTCAGCCTTTCAATTCCCAAATATTCTATTCTATTATAGATGAATAGATGAAAAAAACATTAACTTTTTAATGGATTTGGCCATTTTAAATCTCTCGCGGATTATTTAAACAATATTAAAATATTAACTTATTTCTCTGTTGTTATCTAACAAACTAGATGATTAGAATATGAAGTTTATAGACACTTCTCTTTCTATGTTTCAATTTAGAGACACTTTTCTTTCTATCTTTCAATTATTTCAATTTATAGACACTTATCTTTCTATGTTTCAATTTAAAACCACATATATTTCTTTTTATGTTTCAATTTATAGACACTTATCTTTCTATGTTTCAATTAAAGACACATACATATCTTCATGTTTTAATTTATAGACACTTCTCTTTCTATTTTCCAATTTATAAACACATACATATCTTTTTATGTTTCAATTTATAGACACACATACTTCCCTTCCTACTTCTAAAACATGTAATAGTTTTGTCCATGTTTAAATAATGTTCTTTCATGTCTGGAGCAAAAATAATTGCGCAATTTTGAGAGAAAAATGTTTCAAACTTTGAAAAATCTAAATTCTATAGAAAACCTTGGCATATAGCAGTTTATTCAGAAGAAAGGAAAAAAGTTGAATTCATTATTTTTTCATGAATACATTCGTAGAGACTCAAACTTGGATAGAAGGACTCTCAAAATATTATTAAATTTTATAGAAATATTTTATTCTTTATTTCGACAGACATTAAAATTTTGCACTTTTTATAAAAAATGTCAGCCAAAAAAGAATTTAAAAATTAAAAATGCAATGAAAGTTTGAGGCAGGGAAGAAATCATCATTGGAGACCCCCAAAGACGTCTCGTTGGAGACCCCTGATTTTCTTTGGAGACCACAAGTTTTTTCATTGGAGACCCCTAACTTTTCGTTTTAAGACCCCACATTTCTTTTTTCACCCCCAACTTGCATTGGAGACCCCCAAGACAATTGGTGGTCTCCAATGAGAATCTTGGAGTTCTCTAATAAAATCTTTTAATATTAATCTTTTTAGAAAGTAGCATATGTGTTGTAGTTTAGTTTAATGTGAGAATAGGGTATCACCACAAACTAAAGAAAATTGTACGCAGCACAGGCAGCCGTAGTACATTTCAAGTTCCGAGCCGGGCCAACCTTTCCGGTCCCAGTTTGTACTGTACCTAGCTCTATGGACAGGACTAGCCAGTGCAACAAGGTTGACGCGGTCAGACTTTAGCTTCATATAAGTTGAATTTACTTTTACTAAAGGGACAGATTTGCGTGGCAAGCTTATATTCTTTCTATGTTTTCAATCAGAACTTCTTTTAAAACTATTGAAATTAACAAAATGTTTTGAATTTCTAATGTGACAAGATAAAGAAATTGAGCCTTTGTCACAAACTCAGATTTTCTATTTCCTATATCTTTGCAACCTGAAGGTGTTAACCTTTGTTATTTAAAACTATGATTAATTGATCTAACAGAATTCATAGTTTTAAAAATATCTAAGGTGTAAGAAATTTGGTTTTAAATATTAAAAAAAGGCATAGTTTGTGACACAGACTCAATTCTTTTGTTTTTCCTTTTCATACGGTGGTAGGCGATTATATCAATATAACTAAGACGACTTTCGATTTCAATTTCGATATATTCCCAGCTTTAAACAGCATGAATAAACAAAAACATGGAAAGAAAGAGAAGCTGTTAATTAACAAATCTTCTCTTTAATTCGAAAAAGCTTGCTAAAAATAAGAATTATGTTAAAATGTCATTTTCATTATATTGGTATATACTTGTGCGTTGAATGAAACTAGATAAGGTAATAAGGTCACAAAGTTGGACTGCTAATGTCGCGTTAATTTTCCCTTCTCCTTCGTCTAGTGAACAGCAAAAATGCATTTCAATTTTACTTGAAATATCAGTTGAAACTTGGAAAAAGTCTTTAATCCTATTTGTTAAATAATATTCAAACCACAATATTTGTAAAAATTTGGTTTTTAAACTTTTTCTGAGAAGCAGTTGTCAGACAAATTCAAGTATTTCTAAAAATAAAGTCCCAAAATCGAATTCCGATTAAACTTCATTAAAAATATACAAGGTATAATGCAGGCATTTTTCGTGCAGTAAGGGATCAAAGTATGATAAAGGAAAAGATAAAGATGAGCAATGTGGAGGAGAGGAATATAAGGAAAGGATTGAAAAAGGAAGGCGAAAAGGGGTTAAAGGGAAAATATTATAAGGAAGTTGAATTCAAGTATTTTAGAATATTTAATTATCAAGTTCAATATTGATTTTGAATATTGGCCAATTTAACGAAAGTTGAATAAAAGAATTTTAAGATTCTTTAATTTCTGAAAGTAAACGAAATGATTCCTTGTCACAAACTCTAATTTGAAAATCCTTATATCTTTGCAATCTGATATCGTAATTATAGTTAGTAGTAAGTAATTAGCTTTTTTGATTTGTTTAAGGGACTGTAAGCGTAATTTTAAGTAACCTTAAATGAAAAGATGGCGTTGCCCGATTCACTCTTAAAACCGTTGTCTGATTAAGTGTCAATTAATAATCAATGTTTATAATTAAAATAAAAAATTATATTCAATTGTGGTTTCTCTACTAAACTGACGCTTTATCACAGAAAAACATTAAGGAATTTAAACGCTTGTAAACCTAGAAAAAAACGACAATATCTTCCACATTATTGTTCAGATTAAGGTTTCGGCTTGGGACGTTTGTGAATAAGGTATTATTGCCATCTTTGCATGGAGAGTAACTTGAAATCAGTACTCACAGTCCCTTTAAAGGAACTTTCTAACATTTTATTTTTGATGTTGGTAGAAGAAAAGCATGCATTGTATTCACATAATATTTTCTAGAAATTCTGACAATCATTTCCCGCCGGAAAAATATCTTTCCGAGGCAAGAATATTTTCGTAGAATTTGTTTAGAACAAAAAATAAATCTTGTTATTTTTTTATATTTTTAGAACTTTTCAAATTAGCAAGCTTATAGTGATTTACAGCGCTTGTAAAGCGGCTCATGAGGGAGGAGAATAGGAGAATAGGAGAATAGGAGAATATGTTGATGTATTAGATAACAAACCTTACAATAAAGCAATAGAAAACCTTATATACGTTCATTTTTACATTTTGAAAATACTTTAGTCTTCTCTTATTCTTTCACACCAAAGATACAAGAAACATTTTTATTGTCGGCGTAATTTCAAGAAAATCCCCATTTTAAAAATTTGTTTCCCGATCTTACAATTTTTTTTTTCATTTTCTCGAGACATATCTGCATATAGAACTAACTAGAACTTTTTCATTTAACCTTAACCTTTAATAGGGTGAAGGGGGAGGTGTCTTCACTAGCATGGGTATCCCCACCAAATTACTAAAAAGGTGGACTGCCCCCCGTCAGTGTAGGGTTAAGAATGAAGATAAATTCATGTTTTTATTTCTCTCTAAATGAAATACTTGCAAGGTTTGAAGAAGAGTTAGAAGGGAAAGGAATGTATATATTTGACCTGAAGGTCTCTGCGGTCCCATCTAATCATTTGGCAACCTTAGAACACTGAGACAGAGAGAGTGGGGGGAGAATACTACCCCCCCCCCCACCAACCATTTTTGTCGAGGAAGAGATATAATAAAAATATAATTTACTTGGATGAATCCCGAGGCATCTTGAAGTATGCTGAGAAAAATTGCCAATAAAAGATAATAAAAACAAATAAAAATAAACTTACAAATTCAATTGATACAAAGTTGCCAGGATGACTTTGTTCCCTTTAAAGGGACTGGTGTCGTAATTTGAAGTGAACCTCCATTTAAAAAGAAAAGAGCATGCCTGATTTACAACGGTACTTATGATTATCAATAATTTGATAATAAAGTCGTTCTTCTGACTTGAAAAGTGGTAAATTCTTGACTTTAACACTTAATTTGACGACCTTTAACTGGGTACCGTTGTGAATTAGGCATACAACTCAATCGATGGAGTACCAATTTCAAATTTGTTTACATTCTCGTTAAGCAAACATATTAATATTTTTATTAATTTGAAAAAAAACCTCCAGATTATGGTTATTAAGACGCTTCACACCCCCTTTTCTAGCTCTTAAGTATCTCAAATCTCATTTTTCATCTTACTTGACACAAACAAATATTTTCACCGATTTATGTTGAAATTGGTGTATTTACATAAATAAAAAATGTCACTTTTTCCGAGCAAAGATTTTCTTTGGGTCTTATGATCGTATTAGTTTTTTGCACTACACAGACTTGTTTTTCAAGATTGAGAACATTTTTTAATATCTACGAACATGTTTCTATTCAATGAGCTCAAATTTAGGCTTTTAGATCTAAAAATAACATTTGTACTGTAACAAACTGTTACCTAACATTGAAAATATAAAATTGTGCAAACGGAGATTATCTTTTACTTTTTACTTCGCTCCAGTTGGAAACATCAGGACTCAGAAGCCCATAAAATTTTTATTTTTAGATCTATACAAGCTTAAAATTGGGCTCATTAAATCGGAAATTATACTTGAAAATACGATAACAAGCGAGTCTGTAGACCATTATTGCCCGTTTTTTAGACACCCTGTAGATAGATCTAATTTCTAGTTTGAATTGTTGGGTTTAGACAGGGGTTGGAGTGTGTTTAAAACAGAACTTATCCTAACTTTAATTAAACAGTGGTTTTCTTTAACTTTCAACTCATGCATTCAATCATCTCTGGCTCTACATCTATATTTAAACATTATACTTATCTAAACTTCCTTAAACTTTATTTCAATATACCCTAATTTATAGAATGCCATGTATAATTCACAACGATACCCTGCAAACCTTTGTCTAATTAAGAATGAAGAAGCCATCCATGTTTCTCTTTTTTTTAAAATTTATTATCATTGAAAATTCAAAAAATCTTTTTTTAAAGAAATTGAGTCCTTGCCACAAACTCTAATTTTTCTAATCCCTATATCGTTGCAACACAATATTGTATCCAGGCCTTAAATATGTGAGATCAATAAATCTGAGTTTGAAATACAACTAAGAATGAGACTTCAGAGACGACTGTACGAAATGTAAACTGTCTGTTTCCGTATATTCATAAGTCCCTTCAACTATAGATCTTTGTCCTGTGCTCTATCAGTTAAAAGGCCATAAACAGAGAACTTAAGAACCTTTTCAACCGTCATATTTAATGAGTCTCATTCTTTGTGGGTAACCTTATTCTGAGGTTTACATTACCAGGTTGCTAAGATATAGGAATAAGAAAACTCAAGTTATTATATTATATTGACCTTCGATATATTAAACTGTAAAGGGATTAAGTCTTTGTCACAAACTCAAATGTTCTAATCCTTATATCTTTGCAACCTGTTAATGTAAACTTTCAAATTTCAAACTTTGACTATTTGCTCTAACATTAGTTACAGCTTGGAATATCTAAGGTCTACGATATTGGGTTCCGGTTGTAAAGATATAAGGATTAGAAAATTAAAGTTTGCGATACGCGGACTCAATTCCTTTTATTACAAAATAAAGTCAAAGTTTAAAAAATGACAGGTTAGGAAAAATTAAGAGTTTAATGCAAACGTTCAGTTTCCTTGCTCAAACTAGAGTAAATTTCATGTTAAATTGAAATCTTGAATGTTTTCAATCATATCTCATAGCTTGCTGGAGTGCCATTGAGAAGAAAAATTTGGTTTGAATATCTAATGATGTATAACTGGATAAATATGTGTTTCTCGATATTAAATAAAAATGGAAGCACTGAATAAATTGTCGTTATTCTATCTAATAAAGTGTTCAATTCTTACATTGTTCTTCTTTGAGTCTGCTGCATAAATCAGGAAATTAGTTTGATAGAAAACCCACAGTTGAAAATAAAAAAGTTATGCTATAAAACAACGATATTGCATTAATCCTGGATCAAAAATAGGCTTAATCAAATAGACAATAGGTGGTAACAGAGAAATGGACCAGTTATACATGACGTCACAAGTGTCAAATATAACATGGGAAACGGAATTTTCTCACATTAGTTAACATGTTTTCCAAGATTAGATAAAAAGTGTAAAACAGAAAATAAAGAACACAAAATTGCACGCATTTTATCGTAAGATAAGCACTTTATTCCAAAATTATCACTATTATCAAGGATTTTGTCTCACACCAAAAATAAGTTGACACTTGTGACGTCATTGCAGAATACAGCTGTACTAAGAGTGTACAAATTCTACGTTGCCATCTATTGTACTAGAATCTATTTGGGTTTAATAGGTACTGTGTATGTTGTGAATTAGACATTCCAATCTTTTAATATTGCGTCTTCAGATCAAACGTGCATTATTTGATTAATAATAAAAAAAATTTCGAATTTTCTTCCAATAAAATATTAAGCTATTCGTCAATATAATTGGTTGTCAAATCAAAAACTGAAAAATATTATGTTCACGGGTCTATAACACTTTCATCGTTGTCACATTGTTTATTTCACGGCCCGCTTATAGATATGATTCTATCTATCTATCTACACTGAACTCGGCCACAGTACAAATTTTATTTTGGTAATTTTTTCCATGGGCCTACCAGCTGATATAGCAAACCGGACCTCTTAAACAAACCATCCCCCGCACCTTCTAAAATTCAGTGGAATATAACTGTTTGGCTAAATAAGAAAGGAATTATGCAAGAGCTGGTCCAGGGGCCATTGTCTGCTAGAACTTCAATGTACTGCATAACACCCCACCCAGAAAATTACATCGAAACTCGTCTATGATCCATCCATTCTATTATATATCCGTGGTTTATTTAGTAGTTGTTCCCCCCCCCCCACACCAGGGGGAAACAAACAATCCATTCATTAGGTTCCCCCGGGAATACAGGGACAACTAAAATATATAGTTTGGCTTCTTTATTGCTCTGTTTTGCACAAGTAATTGCTCGAGCAACAAACATAAATAAAAACTAAATATATATTTCTTTATACTCAACAGGTGAGGATTCTCTGCTGGAACAAATAGAATTTTCTTGCAAACTTATTTTTGCAAAATATCCGAGTTATAACTTGGAAAATAACAATAACAACTCGCATCGTTAAGTTAGCGTGAATTAACAATTCTTTCATTTTAACAATTGTGACAGGGGCGGCTTATGATATTTTCGAGTTTTGAAGTTTGTGTAATAATTGAAATTTCTAAAAATATTTTGATAATTTTTTTATTTCAAAGTCCTGACATGCAGTGAAACATAGGAAGACGACAGAGCAATTGTGCAGTGTAAACAGACCAATTTCACTTAATTAGGGATTTAATAAGTGTCTAGTAAAGCTATTTATTTAATGTATCAACATCAAATACACTTAAGTATTGCTAAATTTTTTGCCCAGGAATAAAAAATATTTCCAAAATTGACAAGAATATTGGCAATATTTGTTTATATCCAATGAAACAAATAAAATGAAAGAGACTAGACAGAGGATCTATAGGTGCGTCCTAAATTTGTCCAGGAACGAGGGAAGCCACCTCTGGCTTGTAAGCCTATCAAACTCCGGAAGAAAAGCAGGGGGCAGAAACGTAATGTTTGTGTGTCTGTACCAAAAGAGTGCGCGTCTGTGATAAGGAACTGAATAGTTGTACTGTCGGTATATACAGTACAGAAGAATCTTGGTATTTGTAAATGGTAAATGGTAAATGTTGTTTACTGTTATTTGTTGACTTAAAATTAAGCTCAATACATGTAAAATATTATTATACATATATTTAAGTCAACACAATAAGCGAACTTTTTATACAAATAATATATTTTGATTAAAGTTTATGATAAACTACTCGTAATTCAAGCTTAATTATAAATTGACGACTTTGCACTGTTCTGCACTTTCCTCGTAGCAAAGTAGTGTGCGTATGTAAGAACAAACCCGTCTGCAAAGCAGTGCAACTGGCTTTCTCGTGAAAATAATGTTATAGGAAAATTAAAACTAAAGAAATGTAGATACTCTTGGTTTTTTAAGTCTGAAAATTGCCGGGTTTCTATAAAAGTGATTACAGTAGATTTATACAAGTTTGGAAATTCACGGATTTATACTCTTTTCAGAATCAGGGATCCTGGTGATGTTGCTTATCAGATACAGGTTTAGAGAATATCGTCGTCAATCGAAAACGTTTCTCTTTAAATGGAGAGTAACTTGAAATTACGTGTGCACTCCCTTTTTATTCCGTGCCTGACCAGGTAAATGTTTTGGGAAATTGTAATCTGTAAAGTGTTAACCTTTAGTTCTATAATTTATTCATAGACAATGTTTCGATTAGTTGAACCTTTACTCAAGAAAAATATATATATATAATGGTAACATAAGTATAGAAATTGTTCAATTTGATAGAAGTACCTTGTACACGTAATTTTAGATAATTACAATTTGATGAGAGAAAATAAATAACTTCTCAGTTTTAAAAAGGTTTTTGAAAACTTTTACATTTCTTTGACAGGATTTAATTAAATATTAAAAATTCTTCCCCTCAGTTTAGTTTAGGTAACTAAATATTTTAAAAAGATAAAAATCTTTTAAACATGTTTCAGTTAGAATTATTCTTTTCCAACAGCTTTATTTGGAAAATTTTTATTGGTTTTCTTGAAAACATTTTTCTGTAATTTTTATTAAAAATCATATTTCCCCCGTATTATTATTATTTTATTTTGCAACCTGATGGTGTAAATCTTTGATTTTTTAAAGGAACTGAGTTTTTGGCACAAACTCTGATTTTAAAATCCCTATATCTTTACAACCCAATGGCGTAGAACTTAGATATTTCAAACTATGACTTTTGTTTTTTCATAATTTTTTTTTCAATCGTACAACTTTGTGACTCCTCTAATTTGGATGTTGTGCACATGTATGAAAAAAGCAAATTAATTTGGTTACAACACTAAGAAATTCAAAACATTTCTGACTTCTCATTAACTCTTCAATTTAGAAACTATGATTGCCAACATAACAGAATTTAATTTTACGTGTTAATTCATTTTCGTTTGGCGTTATTTCCTAAACCCAGGAGAAGTGATTAAGGTTGTTATAAGCATATATATTAGGGTGTATGTACAGAGTACTGTGCAGTGAAAAATTGTAACCACAGTTATAACGAAGATTTCTTGCGATAGACTGAATTATTTAGACGTGTTGGTGTGATGTATTCCTGATTATTCACCGTAACTAGAATTACTGAAAGATTTCCTTCTAAAATTATCATCCAGTGAGTCGCAAACAGCATGAGACTTCATGATTTAAGAAACAGTCGTATTTTCCGGTATAATATAACTGAAAGTAATTCTTGGGGGTATTCTAATTTGAGCCTAGATTAAAGAGCAGAGATCCGATTCACAAATGTATGTATGAGAGAAACTGACGAAGATATTCCGGGTTTTTTACTGAAAATTGGAAAATTTAAATTGTGGTTTCTGTACTAAAGCGACTTGCAGTTTATGCAGCCCATTATCGCAATCACAAAATGAAAAAGATATCGTGGATTTTTTGTCTAAAAGGAATACATTTTTAATTTTCTCTAGTGTAGAACTATTAATAAAAATGATGAATTTTCAGTTAGAAAAACAGGAAAAATAGAATCGGACAAAATAACTCTATAAACGGAGACTCAATTAAAATAGTGTTCTCAAAACCATTAAAAATATTTTACGATAAAAACAAAAATTTTAGGTTGTTATTTTCAAAAAATGTAAGGACCGTGAAAGGCTCACGTTTATTGGGACTCAAAGAATAACCCTGAGGTTCCGAGGTCCGGTCTCAACCGAGGTTTTCTTTCAACTGAGGTTTGAGAACCAGTATACCGGTATACAGACACACAGCTGAACCTGGAAAACCGGTTTTCAATCAAAACATTAAACTGGCCATCCGGGGTCAGTTTATTATTCTGTTTATACCTCACAAGGTTTATACCTTACAGGAATTTAGGTGTCAGCGAGACTTCACTTTTGATCCCATTTTTCCTCACTGTTTGAATCCGTAGATTCATTATTTTTTGTTGAGGGGGCCGGGGGGGGGGGGATTTTTAAGCATGAAAGGTTCATGTACGTTTTGAATTGCATGATGCTGTATATTTACATCAGTAATCTTCAGAATAATATATATATATGTATATTAATTGAAAATTTGACAGTTTTTGTAAAAAAAAAATAAAAC